TTCTGTAATTTCTTTCAATAGCATTTTGTAATTTTCAATGTGCCCTTCTTGTATGCTTCTTTTGTTAAACTTATATCCCTATTTATTTTATTCTTTTTAATGCTGTTATAAATGAGATTCTTTTTTAAATTTCATTTTCTAATTATTCATCGCTAGTTTATAGAAATACAATTGATTGCTGCATATTGATATTGTATCCTGCAACTTCACTGAATTCATTTATTAGCTTTAATAGGGGTCTGTGTGTGTATTCTTTAGGATTTTCTGTATACAAAGTTGTGTCATCTGCAAATAGAGAGAGTTCTTCCTTTCCAATTTGGATAGCTCTTATTTCTTTTTCTGTCTTGGCAGACATTTTTAGGAACTATCTTGGTTCTTTAGGGAAGAGGGAGAAAACAGGTGGTCATTGGACATTGGGAATTTTATTTCTGCGATCTTCTCCATTATTATCTTAAACTATTTTTGTTTTTTTCACCCATGGTTAAATCTTGATTCCTAAATAGAACCTTAACTTCTTTATACCTTTCCATATAAAACATGTCAAAAACAGAGTTCATTACTTTGTCTCCTAGGAGCCCTTATTCTACAATTTACCCTTTCAGGAAGGCTCAACACTTCTTTGCTCTCTCAATCTTGAATTCAACTAAATATGTTTATCAGCTCTTTTCCTGCTCTATCATGTCTCCCTTTCCTCTTCCTTTCTGGAACTTTTGCAGATAGGAATAAGAAAATGCCCCAGGATGAAATAACAGATATACAAAATACAGATTTTCCTGAGGAAGCAGAGGAAAGTGTATTTAATCAGAGGGAGCACAGCCAGTTGTGAAAGAGGAGGAAATAAATTAGCAAAGAGCATATAGTAAGGGCAAATTGTTTAACTTGGATGCCAGTTAATCAAAACAAAGCAGAGACTTGGAAGGAACAGTACTTTATAGGACAACTAAACCAAGTATTCTGGCCTGGACATTTTAACCACTTCAGTATAAGCGTCGACTATAGTGGATAGCCACAGATGTACGCACACTGCCGAGTGTCTACTTTAGCCAACAGCTGTGATATGAAGGCATACAGCCGAGCGTCGACTTTAGCATTAATAACAAAACTTCTACAACAGTACTCTGAATCGAGGCAATACAACCCTTGTACTGCATCAGAAAATCTCATGCATTTTGGAGAAAGACATTTTCCAGCACCTTACAATAGTGATAAAACAAAAAGGAAAAATCCATTAAGAAGATGTACTGTATGCTCAAAAAATAATAAAAGGCGTAGTACTAGATACTATTGTAAACAATGTAATGTTGGCCTATGTGTAGCCCCATGCTTTGAAATTTATCATACCAAAGGATAAAATTTATCGTAATATTCAAAAACTTGCCTTATTTCTTTATTATATGAATGAAATAAAACTATCATTTTGAATTAACTTTTCTAATTTTTCATTTATCAATATAAAATTGTGAACATTTAAAAATAACATAATAAAAACATATGAATATGTCACCTATTCTGATTTACATTACAAGTAAAGTTGCCTGTAAAGTAAAACAAGCTTTCAGTGCTTTAAAGCTTTCCTCATCACACAAGAGCAAAATGGATTTTTTGTGGCACAGCACAAACTATCGAGCGGACTATGAGTGCCGGCTGTGGGCAAGGTTTCAAGGCCGGTGAGTGCTGTAACCGAAGTAGTTAAACAAAACTAAGAGGAAAAGGGGCTCGTGGTAAAAAGCCACATATTGAGAAGAAAATGTCACCATCAACTTAAATTACTATTACTATTATTATTGATTTTGGACACTCAGAATTATTCTGAGAGCCATGCTTTTTGTTCAATGTGAGGGCAACTTTAAATTAGAAAGCAAGGTGGACTGGCAGAGCTGGCCCTGGAGAGCTCTTAGAAGCTAGGTATTGGTCACAGTGGCTCCTGCTGGAATGTAAAGTCTGCCCTCTCTTTTCCACAAGAGGATTCTCAGATAAAGTAGTAAAAAGTAAAAGTAAAGAACAAGCCAGAACAAAAAAATCACCCCGTAATCTTGAAGCCCTCTCTGCTCTAGGAACAAGGTTTGCCTTTCTTCCTACTGTTGTGCATCAGCATTCTCAGAAAGCTTTTTATTTCCTGCAGACAACTATATTGCAGAAGCAGGAATGAGCTGAACTGCCCAGCGGGGTTGCAAGGTAAGGATCTGCCTTCCCAGGGAGTGCTTCTCCTGCTGCTCTTTTCCTCTCCCAGTGTCTGTCTTGGGTGCATATGACTGATCACGTGAAACATGAGAGACTTGGCACTTCTCCAAGGCCAAGGTGCTGGCTGGTGGTAATGTGTTTGCTTTAATGGCAGACTCTTGGCTTCCTGCTGTCCAGCATTTAACCTAAAGTTACCCTTAGGAAGGGCAGGGCGGGTTACTGGGGATGAGTCAACCATTGTAACTTCTACTTTGTTTATACTCTTAAAGGTACAGAGCAGAGGTAGGGTGGACCATAGAAGTAAATCCCGGGAGACTGTGTCAGTGAAAAAACTCCCAGACCCAGTGCTGTCAGATTCACTTCACTTTTATTATGAACAAATACAATCTCAGATCAGTACAACTAGCTTCAGAGTTGATATTAATAGAAATTATTCCAAAATTATTCTCAGGTCACAAATAACTACTATCCCACATAAAAAGGGAAAAAATCCCACTCAATCAAGGAAAAGGTATCCTGTGTATGTTTCCATGGCAATGAGTTTATGCGTTCTCAAATTGTCTGGCTAGTTATCCACCACTTATCCAATAGATTCATTCAGTCTCTCAGAGAACTGCATAGACTAATGATAGCATCCAGGACACATGGACACATCAAGTTCATGGTGGACACTGCTATTACACGTCTGCTGAAAGATCGCAAAATGCTTTATAAAAAGCATTAGTCACGCCTCAAAACTGCCCTTTGAGGTAGGTCAGTATTATTATTCCCATTTTAACAGAAGGAAAACTGAGGCACATTATAGTTAAGTGACTTGCCCAGGGTCACATAGCAAGTCAGTGGCACAGTGGTAGGAGAGGCCCTGGCCTTAACCACCAGCGTGACATTTGCCACCTTGCTTTCTTAACCTTTCACGCTGACCCATTTGAGCTACACTTACAGAGAATACACTAAAAATACTAGCAAACCAAGGAGAAAATTTTCCATTTAAATGCTACAACCATCTTTTAATCTAAAAAGAAATATATAAACCAAATACATTCAAATTACTTCCACCCTCCATCAAATGTGGGCACTTAATAAAAGCAGCCCTAAGTAAAGTTTTCAAAATGAAGCCCAGAAGGGAATCCTGCAAATCGCTCTACTGATAGTTCTCTAGCGAGACCCCTTTCTACCAGCCACTTCTGGTTTGCACCTGGCTCTCAGGTGCAAAGGGACTCCACAGAGGGAGTGAGGGCGGCTCATATGCAACACTGATTAGAAAAGATGTAAGGCACCCAAATAAGTTGTCAGCACACCCAAAGCAAGGAAGGACTTAGAAATTCAGACTCTTGATCAGATCTGAGTTTCCCATTAATGCATCACTTGAATGAGCTTCTGAATGTTGGAAATAGTGTTCCTTACCCAGCAGACACACCCCCACCTACACACCCCCCCACACACTGAGGCCCTCTGCCTGAGGTCTCCACCCAGCCTTGTGTGGGGTCATGGTATGGATCAGATCCAGGGAACACGATTACAATAGAAGGAAGTGAAAGCTGTTTTTATTGTTCATATATTATCAAGCAGGCACCTGATGACCTGTGGAATCAAAAGTACCCAACAGACATTTCCAAGGGGTAGGCGCACAGGTCAGCAGATCTAAACTACAGTGATCTGCCATTAGATTCTTTCCTACTGAGATGAACAGCTCAAAAGACAGGATGCCTTTAGCCCAGGCTAACCCCTGTAGCCTCTATTCAATCAACATGGGAAGAAAGGCCCTCCTCCCTTCTACCACTGGGGCTCAACAGTGGGCAGAGCATCTGGTATTGTACATTTCCAATCTCATTAGAGCAAAGCCAGACTGAGGTACAAGGACAAGGCTTGTCCAAGTTTCTCAAAACACGGATGTTCTGTTTTTTTCCATACTTCTTCTATACTATTGTCTGCCCTAGGCTGTGTTGTAGGGAATGCTGGTTAGTTTGCTGAACAGAGATTATTCAGCAAAGTACATGGCATCTCAGATCCCAAGTCTTGGCCAAAGCTTTGCAACATACCCTGACTCCAGGGAACAGGGCCTCCTTTCGAAGTGAGGCACTTGGGTACTTGCCCTTGTTTCTTGTGCTTCCCAGGGAGGACTAGGTTTTCTCTTACTTCCACAAGCATTATACTGTCTGCTGGGAGCACTGACTCAGGGGGGGCAGCCTTACTGAGCAAGCAGGGAGTATTTAGCGTGCTCTCTGGTTCTGACCCAGACAGAGGGAACTGAAAACAAACCCTCTTTGCTCCACGGCTAGCTAACTGGCACAACACAAGCATTTGGCTTGGCCATGCCTCATGAGAGGGCCTCTCTGAGTCAGGGATGTTGCTGAGAGGCTTTTGCCAGCCTTGTCTTGAGCCATCACTGTGGTAGGGGAGCACAGGGGTTAGGTGGAGACACTCTGGAGGCCACATGAAAGTGGGAGCTATCTCTACTTTCTAAAGAGAAGCAGTGGTTCAGTGACCCTGAGCATTCTGTCTGCAGGAGAGGGAGCTGTCTGGACAGCAAGTTGTCACTGCCTCTGAAATTCACATGAAGGAGGCTGCCTGTCCAGAGAAAGAAGAAAATGTCACAGGAGAGAGAACTGGTAGGAGAAAAGGGACAGATGGGATAGACTGGCATTAAGAATCAGGGTAGTGAAGAGATTCCTAACCTCGCCCCCCCCAGGCAGCCCTATGCTTTAGACTAAATGTTAACAGAGGAACAGAAGGGCACAACGTTGTGGGGAGAAGCCTTCTAGTTTTTATTCATTCCAAGGAGAAATTGGAACTAATGAATGAACCTAACATCTAGCTTGTTTTATTAAGACACCCAATAACTTACTCAGTAACCTCCTGGATCCCCGGTGACATGTTGTTCTCAGAGCCCTTCCTTTGTAAAGTTACCTCTTAGGAACTGCCTACAGACTTGCCCTCAACCTATCTATCCCCTGTCCAGCAGTGGGGGTGGGGGGCGGGGGGGGGCATTAATAGCAACCCAGCTAATTCCTCCTCTCCCTCAGAGTTCCTTCAAACATCCCTCTTTCAAAGGGAAATACTCTTAAGTGAAATATTTTAATGTTCTAAGCAAAGTATTCAGATACATATATGTCTATGTTTGGCTCAACTCCACCTCTGAAAAATCCTTCCTTTTTTGGATGTTTGGAAATGCCACAATCTCTTATTACTATGAGGGGAGCAACCCATATCCTGAAGCTGGCAGAGTAGAAAGATGCAAGAATTGTGATGAGCAGCTCATGGAATCCTCAAATTCTACAAGCTGCTGTGTTCACCAATTGTGGAAACACCCAACCTCAAGACTTCTTGATATGACAACCAAGAAATCTCCTTGTGATTAAAGAAAAAAAAATCCTTCCCAACAGAGAAACTAAATGCTTCATCTTTACCCTCAGCCTAAACTATATCGAGACATTGAGATTTGTTCTTGTGTTTTAGCATTGCCAAGCTCCACACCATTCCCTGCTCAGTCAGGAGAGAAAGGAAGCATGCTGCATGGTGGGGCTTGGAGACCTCGCTAGACGGTCAATGGCACGTCTAATGGCAAGCTTCCTCTTGCCTTGTTTTCCCACCTCGACCCCGTCGTTCATACTGTGCATGCTAACTGTCTCCCTTGACAATTCACCTGCTTTAGAAGCCTTGTGCCAAATGAAGTTCTTTTTCCATTCCATCTAGCAAAAGCCTGGGCTGAAGATAACGAACAGAGAACTGCCCAGAAGATTTTGTTGTGTCTCTAGCTTGAGCTACCTACCTTAAAGCTTACAACAGCTCAAGGAAAGAGAATTATCTGGGGCAGAGACCATTAGTTTAAGACTATGGAAAGGTTGTCTAAGCTTTGGAAGCTGGACACTGACCAATGACTGACCAGCTGCTTGCCTGGGAGCCAATGAGGGAGAAGAGAAAGGAAGATGATAAGAACAAAGCAAAGAGGACAATGGGACTAGAGGAGAGAGAATATAAGAGAAGAAATAAGAATATCAGCTTAGCATCGTAAAGGCAGAGTTGTTGGCTTTCAATACTTTTGCATTTAAAAGAATACTGTACTGGAATGGGTTAACATCATCATCTTTAGCATCCTGGTAGCATTATTCAGTAGTTAATAAACAGAACATTAAACCTCTGCCCAGCTGGCTTTTGGAAAAGGAACCGGAGGGACCCAAAACTCAGCCACTCTTGCTGCTTTCATCTCCAGTTCTTTTAATCCTGGCCAAGACGGCGGCCTTGGATACTTTCTTGCGGTCATAGGCCAGGCCGAGGGCAGCCATGCAGTCGATGAAGAAGGTGGTTATGTTGATGTGCCAGCGATACTCGCTTGCAGAGTAGTCATAGGGGAAGGTGTGGTGGTAGTTGTGGAAGCCCTCGCCTGGAACAAAAGCAAGGAGAGAGTTGTGAGCAACAGTGATTGCTGTCTTCCTAATCTATGCACACTGGTTTCTTAGCAGGGCACGTCAAACCTAGGAGAAACTTGATGCTATTGACTGAATGGATGAATCAAATCTCTTTCACTCTGAACCAAATAGATCTCCTCAGAGGCATCTTAAGAAATGACTAGGAGGCCGGGCGCGGTGGCTCATGCCTGTAATCCTAGCACTCTGGGAGGCCAAGGCGGGCGGATTGCTCCAGGTCAGGAGTTGGAAACCAGCCTGAGCAAGAGCGAGACCCTGTCTCTACTATAAAATAGAAAGAAATTAATTGGCCAACTAATATATATAGAAAAAATTAGCCGGGCATGGTGGTACATGCCTGCAGACCCAGCTACTCGGGAGGCTGAGGCAGCAGGATTGCTTGAGCCCAGGATTTTCAGGTTGCTGTGAGCTAGGCTGACGGCACAGCACTCATTCTAGCCTGGGCAATAAAGCAAGACTCTGTATCAAAAAAAAAAAAAAAAAGAAATAACTAGGAGAGACCCTGGTCACCCATTGCTTCTGGGAGCCTTGTGGAAGGAAACCTGACAGTTTCTCTCAAAGGATATAATGATTAGCAGGAAGCTGCTACTGTTGGGAATGGGTTTTAGAGCATGCCCAAATATTATCCCTAGACTCTTAAGGCTCTGCATGTATTTGCATGTGTTTGGGCAGGGAGGGGAGAGTCCAGAATGCCAAATGTTCTACCTCTAGGGGTAGGAGGTTTCTACAGAATGGGTGCAGCAGCCAAAATTCAAAAGAAAAGAGGCTTAGCCCAGGGGCCAGAATGTCTCCGGCCACTGTAGTTCAGAATGGGCTGCTCTGCCTTCTAATTCTTTGAGCTTTGACCCTGGTGTGGGGGCAGTGCTCATAAAACAGAAGCTTTCTGAAGGAAAAGGATCAAAATGCTTAGATATTCCCTCTAACCTCCAAGATTCTGAGGACTCTGGGGATGAGCACTTCACTTTGCTGGAGAGAAGAAAACAAAGAAATTCTGGATTCAGGACAATTTCTGTAATGTGTAAAGCTTTGGAAACTCTACAGATAGAGAGTTTGCCAACTCTTGGCTGGACTCGCCTTTCTGAATGACATCCAACAAAAATACTGACCCAAATCAGGCTGGAATAAAGAATACTAATAAAAGAGCTTGTTGGTCCCTTTGTAGATAAAAATAACCCCAGATAGGGTAGTAATGATATTAATGACAAGCAAGTGAAGGAAGTCCTGCAGAGTAAATGACACCATCCAGGACACTTCAAGGTTATGTCCCCCATCTCTGTGACACTTCATCATCCTAGGTGCGAACTGAGTAGGAGGGTGGGAAAACACCAAGGCAAAAGGCACTGATGAAGGACTATTAATTTCACAAATGGTTTTGCAGCTAGGCTCTGTGTAAGCACTAGCCAAACCTATATTTACCAGATTTAAAGTGGCATCAGATACATGCATAGATGCGGAGGGAAAAAAAAGAGGAGGGTCAATGGGTAGAAAGAGGACAAGACTTTGCAACTGGAGCAGCAAGGGACAGCCCAAGAAAGGCTCAGGGAGAAGGTGAGCTTTGGCAGAGAGAAGATGAGCTTGTGACTATGGGGGAGGTAATTCAAGAAGTGAAATGATTAGAGTGGCAGGAAACAGAGCAGGAGAACAAAGGGCAAGGCGATAAGGGAGGAAGGCAGCAAGCACGGAGGAGTGGAAGATAACTAGGACAAGTCAGGTACTGGCAGCCACTCTGAATGGATGGCCATAAAGAGGCTAGAGTTGGGAAGCCCACTAAAGATCCAGGACACATCTCATGCCAGAAAACTCCATTGCTGTGAAAATCTCAGATTTACACAGTGCATGTGATTTCTTTCAATCATGAGTCAAAGTAAGAACATGCACAATGGTAGAAGGTGCCTGAAAGGAGCGGGGAGATGCACAAAAGTTAAAAAGAGAGGGAAAAATGCTTTTCATAAAGATAGTAAAGATTGTCAGGGTTGAGAATATAAACGAAGATTTTAAGGAGGAAAAAAGAATGTTAGGCAATGATACGCATAGACGTGTGGAATAGTGTGGTTGCCAGGTGTTAGGGGATGACCACTAGCACTGAACATGGGTGCAGAGTACAGGCCACTGGGTCCACTTAAAATAAAGCTATTTGAGGCTATTGTCAAAGTTTATATTCAGTTGGAAAGAGGGACAGGAAAAAAAAAGAGAACAGATGGTAGAACACTGTTGTCTTAGACTCTGGTAATTGGGGCTGGAATTATAGAGAGAAATAAATTCAGGAATAGTCAACATTAGATCAGTGAGCAGGAACTTGTGATCAAACTAATTACTTTATCAGGCTATTCCCTAAACTATGTTGGGGGAGGGGGTGTTCCTAGCACAGAATAGAAGTAGAAGAGATAAAACTAAAGGACAAGAGGAGGCAAGGTGGTAGGTAGTGGCAAATGGCCACCAACACCAGTGGCTTTGGTGCTCTACATATTGACATCCCCAAATGGTGAGGCATGGCACACACTTAAGAGTATGGCATGCCTGAATATAGTGGGGAGATAAAAATTAGTGTGGCATACTTAAGTTTATTAAATTAAATTACAATTATTTATTCTACATTTTATGTAGCACACTAGGATTGCTGGCCACTCAGATGATCCTATTGCTCTATTTATTCATTTTACTCCCCAAGCAAGACAGCAGTGCAGCTCAGGTGACTGGGAAAAGGAAAAGTCAGAGCGACTCGTCATATACAGCCTTTGGAGATTGTTTTGGAAGTGGGAATTAAAAGCAGTGTTATTTTTTCCCCAAAACTTGTTGCCTGACTCTCATACAAAGGTTTTCCAATATATTGCCCCTAGTTTTATAGTGGAAAAACTGAGATGCAAAGTGATCATAAAAACAGGTTACTCTGGTTTTTCTGGCTCTTAGCCTTGTACCCTAGTCACCAGATCACTAGATGTGGTCCTGCCATAGACAGATGACTTACCCACAGCTCCCAGGGACACCAGGATATTTTCCCGGGGATTAATGTTCTTGTCATAAGGGCGATATCCGTAGAGGTGCGCGGCGCTGTTCACCAGCCAGGTGGCATTGAGTACTGCAGCGTAACGCAGGAACGTGGCAACAAAAGTGCTGTGCAGAAAGGTTTCACCCCAGAAATACCAGGGCACCCATGTGGGCAGGATGAAGCACATGAATACAACGGCCGGCTTGTAGTACCTGCACGGGAGCGCCAGACACTGAGTCAGTGGACAGAGGGCTCTCACACCTACCTGTGCTTCCACTCACGTTAGGTTGGGCTGTCTCTATTCCCCTCTGTTCTGAGTACAGCATGGCAGAAAACAGCAGGAGGGAATGGGGTGGGAAATCTTTTGATGATGTCATGTTATTATCTCACTTTTTAGGTGAGGCAATGGGAAAGGATTAAGTGACTTTTCTAGAATCACACCACTGGGCACCAGTGGAACAAGGACTGAATGCTTGGCTCCTACCTCTAAGGCCATCCCTGTTTTTTACTAGTGAGTGCATAATGCCGTTGGTAACATAGATGAGGTCCAAATTACAAACAAAGAGAGTTCTCCAGCCCAGGCTGTTTTTCCATTCTGCTTAGGGGCTCCTTTCTCTTTCTCATCAGCACTCTTGTGCAGTCTATGTTTAGTGTTATGCCTCCATTTCCTGCTCACCACTCTCTAATTCTTTCCTCCTCTTTTCCTGCAGAGAGGCACACTGAGTGTCCTTGATTACTGGTAGGTCTCTGTCCCTCCAGAGGCCCCTTCTGAATCTTCAATCTCAATGCAGACCAGGCCATTGACATTCCAAGGGAGTGATTCCCTACGTCCCTTCAGCACTCAAGTCTTGACTTTTTGGTAACTGATATTCCTTCCCTGTATCTTGCTCCTTTCCATTCCTACAACTTCTCCCCTAGCATGGATCCTCATTACCTCCTAACCTGTGTCCCTGCTTCTCATCTCTTTGGCTCAATCGTTTCTTTCACCTGTAGGGAGAACAGCCTTTTTAAAGCATACCTCTATCTTTGCCACATTGCTGCTCAAAAAACATAATGGTTTCCTTTTTTTTTTGGAGCTAGAGTCTCACTCTGTTGCCTGGGCTAGAGTGAGTGCCCTGGTGTCAGCCTAGCTCACAGCAACCTCAAACTCCTGGGCTTAAAGCAATCCTTCTGCCTCAGCCTCCCGAGTAGCTGGAACTACAGGCATGTGCCACCATGCCTGGCTAATTTTTTTATCTATATATATTTTTTAGTTGTCCAACTAATTTCTTTCTTTCATTTTTTTTAGTAGAGATGGGGCCTCTTGCTTAGGCTGGTCTCAAACTCCTGACCTTGAGCGATCCTCCTGCTTCGTCCTCCCAGAATGCTAGGATTACAGGCGTGAGCCACCGCACCCGGCTCATAATGGTTTCCTATTGGCTATTGAATTAAATCCTAAATCTGCTTTTAGGACTCTACAAGAACAGCATCAGTCTCTCTTTCCAGTCTCACTTCCTCCCCCACCCTATACTTCAAGCAAAATGACTCTTTTCCTGGAACATGCTTTATGCTTTAGCTCATTCTGTTCTTTCTGTTTGCACTGTCCCTCCCCACACATACTTGTGAAAATCTCTATCCATTGGTGAATTCCAGTGCCACCTTTTTCATAAACACTGAGCACTCCCCACTGAGCAATCTCCCTCCCCCTTGAATAGAAAATATTCTGCCTTGTATCAGGGTTATTTGGGTACTTGGCTTATAACCTCCACCCCTGACTAGGCTACAAACTCCTTGAAGGTAAGAACTAGGCTCCATTCATCTTTGTATCCATGACTGTCCCAGGTCAATAAATATTTGTTGAATTTAATTGGCTTAACTAGGATAGCTCAGAGAGAAGGAAACAGGGCAATAGTCTATGACTGTGAGCAGGTGGGATGTTAAAAATTGGGGTTTTAAATTATGATTTTAAACATGCAAACCCAATAAATTTCTCAGCTTATATTTTATAAGTCGTAAGAGATAAAAAGGAGTTCTCAGACACCAGGTCCCAGGACCATATCCCCAACTCCATCATCGGTTCACTTACCTCCTCTGGAACATCACCAATTTCTCAGCTTTTAGGTCAGACAAGTCCAGCGTACCGCCCTTCTTCATGACGGCTGGATGTTTGCGAACAAGCAGCCAACCCACGTGAGAGAAGAAAAAGCCACGTCGGGAATTATGAGGATCAGCATCTGTTTCTGAAAACTTGTGGTGGGCTCGGTGATCGCGGGCCCATTCATAAACATCATTCTGGAGGGACAGAGAAGAGGAATGAAGGCCTGAGGAGAGACACCCTCTCAGGAGAATTCCCAAAGAATTAGAATGTCTTCAAGAGCCCATAGCTTTCTGCTCAACCTCACGAAATACCCAGGAATCCAAAGGAGTTGCCTCCCCTCTTCTCCTAGCTTGCCACTAAAGCTTGAGTAGAAAAGCAACTTCAAGTTCCAGGGCCACATGAACAGACTGCTGCTGCTTGTTATGTGGTGAGTGGAATGCAGGTAAACCACATGGAGCTCAGATAGTGTCATTACCCAAGAACATTGCAACTCTTCAAGCAAGGGATGTTGGAAAAGGTCTTTACAGGGTGCCCGATCTGGGGCACGGAGACTATCAGGCAGGCAGCCCTGTGTCCTAGAGTCCTGGTCAGTGGATAGGCTGTGGGAGCTCCATCCTGATGCCTTGGCATGAGACAGCTCACACAATGCCACAAGGCCAGGCATGTAACTCATGGTCAGGGCCATATTTCCAAATGACCCCTGTGCTTCTCTGTGACTCTTTCCATCCCTTAATGAATATACCAATATTTCTCTTCCTCTTTCCCCACAGGGACAACATCAGGAGGCTTCAAGGCATAAATGACTATGGCACAGATTATGCAAATATGGGAAGTACCTGGGATATTATATTGCCTAATATGACTAATTTGGTTTCCTTTCTTCCTCTTGCTCCAAGCTAAGCCTCACCTCACATGCTATCCTTTGCCTTGCAACAGTTTAATAGCTGTGAGAGTTCCCTTTCCCCAAATCCCTTCATTCTTTCTCCACTATAACTTTTTTGCCTCAACAAATCTCAGTACTTGATTTTGCCAGCATGGCAGCCCCAGATAGGACCACAATGTTGGGCTGGTCTATCTAACCTCTCAGTGACTCAATTTCCTAATCTATAAAATGGGGATAATAATAGTACCAACCTCCTAAGATTGTTGTGAGGATTTAATGAATTAAACTATATCAAGTGCTTAGTATTGTGCCAGGCAACTAGTCAGTGCTATGAAAGAGTTTGTTCTTATTATCTAAAAACAACAGAATTCATGAGTCTGTAAAACATCAACTTCACTCCCATTGTGGTGGAGTCCTGAGATATTCACCTTAAATAGTGAATTTATTGTCCAAAGTCTGCCCAGAAAAGCAGGGTCAGTCCCTGACTTATGTGCCATCGCTCCTTATGATGGACAACAGCCAGACGCTGTGATAACACAGGGACCTTAGGATCAAAAATAATCCTGCATATCATGACTATTTCCTATTTACTCGTCATTTCCCTTTTCCAGAAGTCTCCTCAGCTTTATGGACTTAAGGACTGAGCCTGCACTTGAGGTGACCACGGAGAGAGCACAGTGAAGTGGCTGTGCAGGTGTGGCTCCTCTCTGAGCACTGATCCCCTCCTTTTGCCCCCAGATCATCCACAGGGTGGAGAAAAACGAGCCAAGCAGAGCTTCTTACCTGGAATGCCATGGTGTTGGCAATGATCAGGAAGAGACGCAGGGGCAGGCGGGCTTTGTAAGTTCGGTGGCTCCACAGGCGATGGGCTCCTGCTGTTATGCCCAGAGCACTGATGAAATAGTAGAATATTCCTGCCAGGAGAAGACAGCAGGGGAGTCACAAACCAGTGTGAACGCCCTCTGGGGAAGCATGTCGAGCAGTCTCCTGATGCCAGCGGCTGTGTCTTCTAGAGGTTTGAGGTGAGGATCTGCTTTACCCTGAACTCTAGGGATATCTTGGTCTCCTAGATTTTACCACTTGAAAAATACCATTACCTCCCAGCCTCTTAACCTAGGAATTGAGATAAGTTAAGGAGCCGCATGAACTAACGAGTCAGAAAAGGAGGAGAGAGACTAAGGCTCTTACCATTCAGCCAGCCACTTGTCATTCTCAGTCTTCGGGGGTGTTTTCTCAGGACCTGTTACCTTTGACCGTTAGCTAAACTTCCCTAAGGTTTTAAGAGCTACAGACTACTCTTCCAGAGCTCAGGATAACAGCCAATAACATCTGGGCACTGACCAATTCGAGGAGCCCTGAGTTGTAGAGGGGACTCAGAGTTGTGGTTCTTTACTAACTGGTACAAAAGCATTTTGATATTTTAGGCAGCAGTACAACCATATAAGGGAAAAATCAGCCCTGCACATAAGTCATATTTGCACAGTGTCTTAAGCTTTACTAATGATTTTAATATTCTTGAATTCACTGGATACTTTAAATGGGGCAGGTGGTATTAATAACCTAACTTTGCAGTTGAAGAAATAGATGCTAAGAGAGGTTAAGCATTTATCTTGGCTAGGTCACATGGCCAGTAAGAAATGGAGCCATGGTTTGAAGTTAGGTTTTCTGTCAGTAAGCAGTTAATGTCCTAGTTATATCTTCCACCTCCCCAACATATATGCACAGTTCCTATGTCTCTCAGCCCATAATCTCACTAGGAAATGCTAATTTTAGACAATGGTGGGATATACTCAAAGCTATCAGTGGAGCACCCCAACATTTTCCTGCCTCACTTTCTTGAATCCCTGCAGGCTCAGGAGGTGCCAGATATAATCTCTAACTGGGAAGCTTGGTGTACCCATCTCTTCCTCTGTCCTGTAGCTATAGCAGGCAGGGGCTGAGGCCTTGGTAGAAATTGTTAACAATGTTTCATTCCTAGGGAAACAGCTAGAAACAATGGATCCTCAGTGGCCAGAGAACTTAGTTGCAGTTGGAGACACCACACATTGTACAAATTGTCCTGTGTTCTTTTGCAGCCATAGACAGCAGTTTCCTAAACAGCCTCCTCCTTTCCCCTCCCCTACCTCCTTCACCCTATCTGTTCCTCCTACAGGATCTCCAGGGGAGCCACAGAGCCAGAGTCTGTCCCAAGGAAATGAAAGTTCTATCCACTCAGAATAGGAATTAAGGCTCCAGGTAACCTGCAGGACTCAAGCCAGGTGGTGATTGATATCTTCCCAGATACAGTATCTGCCTGTATCTTACCTGGAAAAACACAGTTGGGACAGAGCCCTCCAATCACCAAGGAGGAAGAAAAATGGCTTTGGGCACGAAAGTAGAAGCACTCAGGTAAGAACCAAGGAAGCTTCTGGGGTTATTTCATGCCATAGAATACCCTGGGGCAAGTTGACTCAGAAAGTATGTAAGAGCCCATATTAACAGGGAAATTAGGAAAAGAACCCAGGCATTCTCCTGCCTTATCTGTAAATACGTCAAAGTCAAATAGAAGGGCTTAAGTCAATTGGAGATTCATTCTCACTCTGTTCCCCAGGAGAAGATTACCCAAATTGATGGTTACCTAACATCTCTTAGCTTTAGCCCTAAGAGACTCAAAGGGTTTTTGCCCTTTGGCCCTCAGTGCTGCCAGAGATTTCTGTTCAGGCATACCTCAAGGGCTTTTCTGAGAGACTCCACAATGAAAGATAGGAGGCTCTCAAAATTGCTCAGAGTCAAGAAATGCTGGACTCACATCCAGTTGTTAATTTAACTTTGTTCTTAGGGATTAAAACAAGAAAAGGAAGTCAAGCCCCTAAACTTTGAAGGTGGCAAGAGAAAATGCCCAAGTTGAGACCTCTGACCTTCCTTCTCCCCAGCCTCCTTGTTCCATAAGACAGAAGAGTTGTGACATCCCTCTATCAAGATAGTCATTCCATCAGCCAAGCCATCCACCAAAAGGCCCAGGGCCAGAAGTAAAGTAAGTCACCATCCAGTCTCTGTGTGCCACGTTTCTCTGTCCAAAGGCACAGCACACACCCATGGGCAGGGCATCAAAACGTAGCATGCACAGACTTAGCTTTGGGATAGCATTCTGCTGCTTGCACTAGTAGCCAAGCCAAGGGTTACCAAGCAGAGGCAGTCTGGTCCAACTCTGGACTTAAGGAAACCTACAGGGAGTGCTGGCACTGGAAGGGGCTTGCAGGGGACAAAACAACTTGTAAAGACTCCCGACCATGGGGGGAGGGAATGTAGAGGGGTTCGCAGTTTTCTGGGGAATCCCACCCTTGCTCTTAATTTCTCATGCTGCAACTGAAGTTCTGCTGGGTTTTCAGAGGGGCTAGAGATTAGATGTCCTCCTCTCCTTACAAATATAGGAGCCCTTCCTTATCTGCAGATGAACTGACTTCCCACACTGGCCTGCTCTCACTGTCTGCCTCTGCCACAGCTATGACACACAAGCAGCCTAAGGAATGTGACCTTCCTAATCCTAAGAAAGTAAAACTGTTGCTCCTAGCTGGTACTTGGAAAAATGGATTCCTAGGAAGGGCTCTTCTCAGTTGCATGTCACTGTGACACCTGAAGGATTTCCCAAGAGAAAGGTCAGGTCTCCCCTTTAGAAGATCCAAGAGGGCCTGAGGGAAATAGCTAAAACTCGGCCTACCAGCCCCTCCGCATAACTACCTGCCAAGGGTGTAGCCCACACACAAGATTGCTCTGTAAATCCTCAGTTTGTTTTCTGGAGAGAGAGTCCTGGCTCTCCACCCCTCAGAGAGGAGCAATGTGGGGCCCCTGGATCTGCAGAGCTCCCTGCTGTCCCCTCCCAATGCAGGCTACAGTGGCAGAGGTGAAAATGCCTGCAGAGCACATGTGTGCATGGGGGTGGGGGCAGGGCCCTGCTATCAGCCCACACAGATGGATCCCTGAAAGAGCTGAGCTCAGGGAAGGTCAGGGACTAATGGGACTGTCTCCCTCATTACAGCAGCCTCAAGGCCAGAGCTGCTCAGGGCTCTCTTTTCTGGCAAGGAGGGGTGGGTAGAAGCCAGAGAGGGCTGCTGTTAGAGGGTGCTGGGTCCTTGGCACTTTATGTTATCAGGAGAGGGGACTGAAGCAGGCTGGATGGGAATGGAACATGAAACCCTTTTTCAACCTTATTTCATTCTAAGATCATTTTGTTGACTGGCATGAGCATACCCTGGAGACCTACATGGAGTAATAGAGCAACACATCTGTGTAACCTGGGTTATACAGGAGCCTTCTTCATCTTCCTTTGCAGCAAAGAAGCCTGGGCTAGCCAAGTAGCTTTGTGGATAACCACCTGTGTTCCTCCCTTTTCAATTAACTCTTCCTGACCAATTGCCCCTTGCTCTAACTCGTGAGGGCTCAACATATACCCTATTAAGCCCCTGGTCTAGAGCCATGTTCCCATGCCCCCTAGGTAGGAGGCTTGATTCTTTGGCAGGGCTGGGACAGACAGCCAAGCAAATGACTCAAATGGAAGAGCTCCTTTGGGGAAAGCTGAGTCTCAGGCACAGATCTACACTTTGAAGCCCATAGCACATAGTCCCAGGGCTCCCTCCTCAAACCCCAGAGCAACATTCCCGCACATCCCAGTGCCCCTACACTCTATCCTTGCTGTCAGCCTCTCAGGCTACCAAAGAGAAATGGCTGGGAGGGGCAGATGCTCCATGTAAGATCCTACCTTATTGAGAGAGCAGTGAGAAACCTGGGGTACGGCGTTGGGAGGGCAAGGAGTCTGCTTACCCCACAGCCAGGTGTACAACTTGCAGGTGGGAATCAATACGATCCCATACAGGGCTCCCAGGTGTAAAAGAAACATAAGGATGATGTTTCTCCAGACATATTCAAGCTTGGGTCTTGGACCCTCCTCATCCTGGTAGGTTGGGTCAAAAATATCATCTTTCATATCAGGGCGGATGTCTTCTTCCAAGTAGAGGGGCTTCTCCAACTTGCCTCCTCCATTCTGCAAGACCCTGGAGGGAGGCGCTGTGATGGTGGTGGTGGTGGTGTAGGAGCTAGAGATCTGGGAGGGGGAGGAAGTGGAGAGTCAGGAGAGAGGAGACACGTGGAAGCGACAGGAGCCACTTCACTCTCTAATCAAGCCGGGGGAAGGGTGGACAGTACAGGCACAGACCCTGCTCCAATGCCCTGATTCACTGAGGGTAGGGTGGACCCCTAGATGGAAGAGGGAGAAGTCCCCAGACTGCGCAGATAGACTGGGGGTGGGGGGGCAAACCTAAGGAGAAGGGGCGGTAGGAAGGAGGGTGAAACACTCGCAGCCTTACGGACACAAAGGAAAACCCGCACACATTCGGAAAGGTTCTGGCACCGCCACATTTCTCCTTACTGTAAAGCTTAAGAAACAAAAGTTGGGGAATCAAGTCCCCCAACTGCGATCCACATTCTCACCAACTGAAGGCAGTACAACTCAAAAAAGATGGCCAAGTCCTTCCCGAAGCTCTCAACTCTCTCCCCAGCCAGTCACCTAGAAGCCCAACCCGCGCCAGCGAACCCGCGGTGCAGGGGCCATCGCTTGGAAGCTCACCTCCTCTTGCAGCAAGTGGGCCGGCATCTTGGATCTAGGATGCCGGGATCACTTTCCCAGGACTGAGGCTGCCGAGCGGAGTTCGGCACCGCGGGAACAGAGGGATGGACTTCTGCTCCGGAGCCCGCTAGTGCGCAGCGATCGGTGGCTCTGCGCAGTGCACGCCGGCTGGATGTCCGGGCCGGACCCGCTGTGCGTGGATCTCCCCGAGCAGGGGATTTAAAGGCTAGAGCTGGCAGTGGGTGACCGTGTCCCGTATTTCCTCAGACACCTTTTATCCGCTGCCAGCAAGGGGCAAAGTGCGCAGACTTGACTGGCCCAGGCAGCCCCGCGTGGAGGTGAGGGCGGGAGAGGGGAGGAGACAGAAAGCCCAGGCGTGCAGCGACCGGAGCCCAGGCGCCGGGATGCTGCGGACACCAACCAAGCCGCGGCTGCCCCTGCCCCTGCCCCTGCCCCTGGGGAAATGCTAATGAGGCTTCTGTAAACTCTGGCGCGTCATTGGCCGAAGGGAATTTGGTGCCACCTCGTCCTGCCGTTGCCATTGGCTCGGCGCAATCTGCTGTTCCCTCTGCCGCGAGCTCCTCGCTCCCCCTCCCCTCGCTTGCTCCTCTGCTTCTCTTCCCCGGGCCGCCGGGCCTGCGCTCGGGAGCTCTCCCTGTGTGAGAGGGAACGGACCGGGGCTGGGACTGGGGGTGGCTCAAAGCCCAGGATGGCCCGGGGCACGGGGCGAATGGGTGGGCACTGGGGAAGTTTCACAGGAAACAGTGGGGCAGCCATGGTGGCGCCCACTCCTCACAACTCCTGTGCGCATTCCCGTTCCCCCAGGATCGCGGGAGGGCAGACGTGGCTCCCCGGGGGTCGTGAGCTCCGGGGCTGGGGGAAGCCCCGCCTCCCTGTCCCGCGAGCGCCGGGGGCTCTGTCCGCGGGCGAACAATGGCTCTGCCCCGCCCACCAGCTACGCGACGCTCCCCCCAGCCCGCACTGAACTCTGGCCGGATCTGCAGACACCGGGACACAGACGAGCGTGCCTGCGCGCGCACCGGGTGCCCCCATTGGGTACGCTCGGCAGGGGACGCCCACCGCCGGCACCAGTGGGCCATCCTGTCCCCATGCCCACGCCTCTAGAACTCGTGCGGGGCGTTTTGGAGATTCTTCAAATTTGTCAGGTTGTTATTTTGGAATTCTTGATGGAAAAAAAGCAGGAAGCACAGACTTGTGCTTTCACTCAGGAGCAGGCAAAGGGACTGTTGGTGGAAAAGGATAGTTAGCAGGTATTGAATTGTTACTCCCAGCCAATTCACAAGAATCATTTAATCCTCACTGTGACCTTATGAAGTGAGTATTTCACTATTCCATTTTAAGGATGAGGAAAATGAGATATGGAGAGGTGAAATAACTTGCCTATGGTCACAGCAGACGATAAGTGGTGGAGCTAGGAATTGCCCAGAAATGTAATACAAGAGCCAGTGTGCTCTTACTCCCTGCTCAGACCCACACAGCCCTAGTCTCGGAGATGTTCTGACCTCTCTGACCTGTCTCTCATGCCCCTATCTTTTCTGGGCCTGTGGGAGCCTCACCATGACAGCCCAGAGCCTCACCATGACAGCCCAGAACCAGGCGGCCTCTGTATTCACCCAGTCAATCCTTCCATGCCTGTCTCCCCAAGTCCTGCCCCAGGATCACAAGAAAGACACTTGTGATTGCCTGGCAGGAGGACTAAGCAGCTCCCTTGTTGGCCGCTGGTCTTGGGGTCAGGACAATTTCTTGGCCAGTGACCAGATGTCTCCATTCCTGTCCTGGCTGCCTGTCCAGTGTGAAAGTTCTGAATGGGACTAGATGTTTTCAGATATGGACAGCTTATCTAGGCATGGCTCAGAAGTGCTTGGTGCGTGGACTAGAAGCCTGGGCACATGCTGTTCCCCTTCAGCTTCGCTCTGCAATGTCTATTTCTTTACCAACTGCAGGGGTTACTCTTTGCTTAGTCCATTTGGCTGCTATAACAATCTACCATAGATTGGGTGGCTTTTACAACAGAAATTTATTTCTCACAGTTTTGGAGATTGGAAAGTCCTAGATCAAAGCACTGTCAGCTTTGGTGTCTGGTGAGGGTCCACTTCCTGGTTCATAGGCAGCCATGTTTTCACTGTCTTCACATAGGGGTTGGGGTGAGGGATCTCTCTGGGGTCTCTTTTATAAGGGCACTAATCTCATTGAGTCTTCAGGACCTAATCACCTCCCAAAAGCCCCACTTCCAAAAATCATCACTTTAGGGATCAGGATTTAACATGAATGGGGGGGACATAAATATTCAGTCTATTGCACTCTTTAAGGAAGAAAATAGGGGATTTCATTTGGAGTGTACCGTTAATCGTGGCTAAAGATGGCTCTACATTGAGACTAGCTTTCTTTCTTTTTTTTTTTTTTTTTTTTTTTAAGCTAGTCAAGCGTGGTTGTGGGGGGAGACAACTTTCTTTCTTTTTAACATCTAGGTATGTCTGATCCTTGTTTCCTCCACACCCTGGACTTCATAGGGACCAATCTAAAAAGTCAGGGTTCCCTGGAAATTGCCCTCCTACTTAGACTCTGGTATATTACCGCTGGTATTATTACTTACTGTTGGTGTTGTGCCTTAGGCCAGGTACGGTATCATTCATTTTCTGCCAGAGAAAGAAAGGGGAGTTGTGTTAAGACAAGAATGTAGACTAGAAATAGTATTTCTCTAAAGATAGAGTGCTGCACTATGGGGATAGCTTTGGGAGTCCAAAGGAGATCGGGGTTAGGGAGAGAGAATTTCAGAGAGAAATGGTCAGAGCCCATGTCACTGTTGATAACTACCATAGAATAGTGACTAGTTCGTGCTGCATATAACACATGGCTATGATTGTGTCACACACTACTTTAAAACTCTCGGTAGCTCACTACTGCCCACAAAAGAAGGCTGCCTAGTATGAATAATATTATGGGAAAAGCACAAGACTTGATATGAAGAATTATTAGGTCAGTGACAAATTAGAAATTATAGATAAGTATATGATCTATCATTCTATGTATACAATATAATTTATATTGACTTAGCTGATAGATATTATAGCATAATAAGAGGAAAGTACAAAATATGCTTGGGGAATGGAGATTGGAGATATAAACTTTCCTCTATGAAAAGAGGTACAAAGTAAGTACCATGGCAGTTTTTAAATTTCATTTTGATTCTTCAAGACAGAAGAGCAAGAAAAAACAGCCACCTTTAGCTATCTTAAGCAAATAAGGCCTCGATAGCAGGAAGTCACAGGAAATGATCTCCCTATTTATTCAGTCCTTCTCAAGTATCCCTGGGTCTGGAACTTATAGGCAGAGAATTGTTCATATTCAGGACAGGGCCAGAAGAAAATCTTTTTTTCTTTTTCTTTTTGAGACAGAGTCTCACTCTGTTGCCCGGGCTAGAGTGCTGTGGCATCAGCCTAGCTTGCAGGAACCTCAAACACCTGGGCTCAAGCAATCCTCCTACCTCAGCTTCCCAAGGAGCTGGGACAACAGGCGCATGCCACCACGCTCGGCTAATTTTTTCTATTTTCAGTAGAGATGGGGTCTCACTCTGGCTCAGGCTGGTCTCAACCTCCTGACTTCAAGCGATCCTCCCCACTCCAGCCTCCCAGAGTGCTAGGATTATAGGTGTGAGCCACCATGCCCAGCACAGAAGTGCAAATCTATGTTGGAAAAGGTTCTCTCCAGCTGTTTCCCTGTTTGTTTTGTTTCCTCAAATTCCTTCTCTATGAATGGACTATGAATTGCCCCCTTCCTGCATCCAGGTTTGGTTCAGGAACAGGTGAGTCAAATTGAAGAAGCAGCTGCAACAACAATCACCAAATCAACCAAACCAGATTCTTCCAGCCATTAAGAATATGCGCACCTCACTCAGATTATCCACTAATTCTTATTCTTTTCTTCCTGTGGTTTTAGATTTCCACAGCTCCCTTCCACCTCAGCCTGTATCTTCACTGAAAGTCCCACAAGTGAAATGCAAGATCCCCAGTTGCAGAGGCTAGAGTCCTTAGTTCCTGCTGTGTACTCTGATAACTATGGCACAGCCCAAATCACAGAACTGTTTTCCTGATGAGTATGAGATATCCATCTATTCCCTCTACTGTCTACATCAGTAACTCTCACTCACAGACCCAGATAGGAGGACAGGGTTCCTCTCTCAGCATCTTTGCTATTCCAGCTGTAGGTTTATCTCCTGGACAAACCTGGTCCAACATGACAAGCCAAGATTTTGAAGCTTACAGTCTAAGAGACAGCCTGGAATTCCAGATCATCTCCAATATGGTAGCCTTTGGATTTCTCTGATCAAAGTACTAATAAATACTAGACCGTATAGAAAATAGGTCTTCTTGCCCCTTGTACATTAAAAAAAATGGTATGAGGAAAACTACAAAACTATGGTGAAAGAAATCAAAGAACTAAATAAATTGAAAGATACTCCATGTTCATGGATAGGAAGACTCAAAATAGCCAAGATGTCAGTTCTTCCCCACATGATCTCTAGATTCAATGTAGTCCCAATCAAAATCCCAGCAAAGGCCAGGCGTATTGGCTCACACCTCTAATCCCAGAACTTTGGGAGGCCAAGACAGGAGGATCACTTGAGGCCAGGAGTTCAAGACCAGCCTGGGCAAAATAGTGAGACCCTGTCCCAAAAATTAAAAAATAAAAATAAATTCCACCAGGTTACTTTGTAAACGTCAGCAAATTGTTTCTAAAGTTTATATGATGAGGCAGAAGATTCAGAATAATCAACACAATATAAAGGAGAAGAAGAAAGTTGGAGGACTGTCACTCCTCAACTTTAAGACTTACTATAAAGCTACATTAATCAAGACAGTGTGGTATTGGTGAAAGAATAGACAAATAGATCAATAGAACAGAATAGAGAGCCCCTAAATAGACCCATATAAATATAAGCAACAGATTTTTGACAAAGGAGCAAGACAATACAATGGAAAAAAGATGGTCTTTTCAACAAATTGTCGTGGAACAACTGAACATCCACATATAAAAAAATGAATCTAGACATAGATCTTACATCCTTCACAAATATTAACTCAAAATTGATTATAGATCTAAATGTAAATACATAAAACTCTCAAAAGGTGCACAGAAGAAAAATCTAGGTGACCTTGAGTCACCTAGTAATTTTTTTTTTTTAAATAGAGGTAGGATCTAGGGTGGGTGCAGTGGCTCACACCTGTAATCCTAACACTTTGGGAGGCAAAGGTGGGAGGATCACTTGAGGCCAGGAGTTCAAGGCCAGCCTGAGTAACATAGCAAGACCCCATCTCTACAAAAAAAATAGAAAAATTAGCTGGGTATGTATGGTGGAGCACGCCCATAGTCCCAGCTGCTCAGAAGGCTGAGGCAGGAGGACCACTTGAGCCCAGGGGTTCAAGGCTGCAGTGAGCTGTGATCACACCACTACACTCCAGCTTGGGTGACAGAGTGAGACCCTGTCTCAATAAAAATAAATAAATAAGAGAAAATGAAAATGAAACATTCTTACCATATCATCTAGCAATTGTGCTCTTTGCTATTTACCCAAAGGAGTTACCTATGTCCATACAAAAACCTGCATACACATGTTTATAGAAGCTTTATTTATATTTGCTAAAACTGGGAAGCCACCAAGATGTTCTTCAGTAGGTGAATGCATAAATAAACCATGATGTAATGGAATATTGTTCAGTGCTAGAAGAAATGAGCTATCAAGCCATGAAAAGACATGGGGGGGACTTAAAGGCATGGTACTAAGTGAAAGAAGCAAATCTAAAAAGTCTACATACTGTATGATTCCAACTATGTTCTGATGAACAAGTTCCATGCTCCTGCCTTCATGGAGCTTACCTTCTAGTGGAAGAGACAAATAATTAAAAAAATAAATAGATATATAATGTCTGGTGAAGAAAAAATGGTAAGAGGAGTTAGAGTAAATTGTTTGACAAAATGCAAGAACTTTCAAGATTCTGGGCATCATTTTTGCTCAAGAGGAACCCAGACAAAGCTCTTTTTTGTTTTATTTATTTGCTTTCTTGTTTGTTTGTTTATTTTTACTTGCTGTCCACATGCCCTACACACCTGGTGTTTCATTCTTCGAGCCTTATAATTTTCCTAGCTGAGTTCACAGTTGGCTGTGACTTCATTGGCTCCCCCTTAGTGTTAGAAATACTGTAATCAGGACCTGCCATCATGGATGTTTACAGACTTGGCCTGAGAGTAGGCATAATCTCTGTCAAATGAGGCTGATTTCAAGGGTACAGGAAATTCCAAGACATAGTAACCTGGGCAGAACTAGCCAGCAGAGCCCCAGTCTCTTTACCTAGGCTTTCATCCCTTCCTGACCTCTGCTGCAGTTGAGATCTTTCTGAGGAGTTCAGTGGCTAAGCTCTTATTCGACTTTGCTTCCCACCAGAGTCCTGGCAGCTGAACTATCCCCAGCACCTGAGCTGTGACATTTGCCCAACCTTTGCCCCATAGGGATACCTGATGAGAAGGAGGGTAGTCAGAAGACTTCTCTGCCTCACCCCACTGCTAAGAGGGCAAAGATGATTGTCCTGTCAAAATTTGTCTCCACCCAGGAAGAAAGGACATGACCCCATGCAGGTCATCGTTGAGAGAGATGAGAGTGCTGTGCCTCTAGAATGGTGAAGGTCCTTCTCAGAATGGCATGTGCCCTGTCCCCTCACTCCAGTGATAGTGCCAGACAGTTCCTTGGGACACCATGACCCATGACCTTCCTGGAAGGGAAGTCCTCCAGTGGGTGGAGGTGAGGAGAGAGGCCTACCCCAGAGCTTTCCAGAACTTTCAGAAAGTAGCAGACTTGTAGGGCATTGTTGTTTCTCCTCAATTTACCTCTGGTGACTGTGAGTCACTCTTAGCTGCAAAATCAGTTGCCACATCTATTAACTTCGACATTTCAAAGAGTGACCAAGGTTTTAAAAAAAAGAAAAAAAAAAAAAAAGAAAAAAAAACCAAAAACTTCGACATGGCCTGGGCAAGGGTTTTGAAATCTATGGGCACGTGCTCTGTGGTATTCTTTTTGACAGTTTATTAATGTCTTTCTGTTCCATTAATTGATGTTGAAGATTTTAGAGTCCTGGGCATTATGATATTGACTCTGGACTGCTTTGTGACTGACCCAAATCAAACCCTTTGTATGTTTCAGTTTCTTTTCCTATTTCACAGGGAGCAACAGGGTGACACAGTAGCCAACAATGCTCAGGAAATAAACTGACACCTGGGAGGATACAAAAGAACACCATTCTGGAGCTCGTTTCTTCTTCTTTCAGCTCTACTGTGAGTTCATCTCTGACTTGCTCTTTCAATGCTTTGTCCTTCCTGTAAAATGAGGGTAAGCAGCCTCTTCCCTGGGAGGTGGGAGTTGATACATCTGGCTCTGGTCTCCCAGGGGCTTGAGGCAAGGATGGGGCCTCCGTGAGAGGCTTTCTACACAGGGGTGGCCTCTTATCCCAGGAGCCCATGTGACTTCCATGAATGCCTGTTTATGACATGAACAGACCCTGAGGATATTTTGGCCTTTCCTTTACTCTTTTCTTGACATGTTTAGGGAGAGGAAACTTGGGGACGCATACCTAGAATTATGGTATATAATTCTGCAGAAATAAGGAGATAAGAGTTGTAGCCGGGGGTGGGGGCTAGAGGATCTGTCACTGTCCCCAGCCAGCTGTCAACCAGAGAGAGGGGGATACGTTCACAGATCTTTATGTATTTGGACATTACTTTTTTTTTTTTTTTTTTTTTGAGACAGAGTCTCACTTTGTTGCCAGGCTAGAGTGAGTGCCATGGCGTCAGCCTGGCTCACAGCAACCTCAAACTCCTGGGCTCAAGTGATCCTCCTGCCTCAGCCTCCCTAGTAGCTGGGACTACAGGCATGCACCACCATGCCCGGCTAATTTTTTCTATGTATATTAGTTGGCCAATTAATTTCTTTTTTTTTTTTTTATTTATAGTCAGGCTGGTTTTGAACTCCTGACCTTGAGCAATCCGCCCGCCTCGGCCTCCCAGAGTGCTAGGATTACAGGCGTGAGCCACCACGCCCAGCCTGGACATTACTTCTTTTCACTCTTCCGAGCTCCCTGCAAGGAGAGGCTCTGAATTTGGGAGGGTAAGGCCTTAGGGCTGTCCCCTCCTTCAGCTGCCTCCAGGTCTGTCCTTCTTTACTGTCTCCTTCGTCACCCTGTTAAATTTTTTAGCACAAATATAGGCCAAATTTTGGGTGTACGTAAGTAAAGATAATCCATTCCCTTAACATAAGGCCCTAGCCCACGTGTGACAGAAACTAGGCCCATTCCCTCCCCCATGACTGGCAGGTGCTGGACCCAAGCCTTCTCCCAGCCGCTGTCACTCTGGCAACTCCAGATCCTGAGATTAAAGCGTCAGTTTGCTCAAATAAACAAACACACTGAGGCACATGTTACCCAGCCAGCCCCACGTATCTGTCCATTCACACTGCCTGTGACGTAGTGACATTGGGCAAGAGGCCAGAGCTGCAGAAACTTCCATCACAACCTTGGACCTGTCAGGCTTTCCTGTGACAGAGGGCAATGTGGGGAAGGTTTAGAAGCCAGTTCCTGTCCCAGAGTTGGCCCTTACCAGCTCTCTGGGCCAAGGGAAAGGGGCAGGGCCCTTCTGGGCTGTGGGCTTTCCCCTGTTTGGTGGTCCAGGCTGAGTCTCAGGTAACAGACAGCCAGGGAGGATAATGAGTGGGCTCCCTCTCCTCCTGCCCGGAGGTCTGGGGCACCTCCTGCTTCTGAAGAAGAAGAAGAAGCCTGCTGGGGCACCACTGGCTTCTGGAGAAGATTGGGCGAAACAGGAGATCCCCCGCTCCTGTAAGCATATTAGTTTGCTCATTCAGCAACTGTTTATGGGACCCACATGGTCCCAAGCACAGTAGTAAGAGCTGAAGTCATAGGAGTTCCTGACCTCGGGCAGTTCACATAGTGGAGGAGCTCTTTATGACTCTGGATGACTGAGCTATAGGCTCCAGAGGAAAGGCACACTCCAGACCAGCTTGGCAGAATTAGGGAGGACTCTCTGAAGGAGATGATGGTGCTAAATCCCAAGGGGCCATTAGGGGTGGGTGTGGAGAAGGACAATTGAAAAGCTCAGAGGCCCAGAGGAGGAAAGGACTGTAAACTGACATTCCACTGACTGAGACTCTCAAACATGGCTCCTCCTGGGCCCCGGGCTGGAGAGATTGTGCAACAGGTCTGCTGAGTGGCCAGTGCACTAGCCCAGCACAGCTCCCTGTGTTACTGGACGTGTCCATCCACACTATCCACAGAGCCATAGCCTGTCTCTCACTCCAGGCCTCCTCCTCCAGGTTCTCCTCCATCAAGCACAGAACTGGAGAGTGTGTACATGGGTGTGCACACATGCACACACAGGCATGTTGTATGCACAGGTTTGTGTTCTAGGGGAAAGACCTCTGCCAGGTTATCACTACCTACCTCTGGGACCAAGGAGTAGGCCTGCGGATCAGGTAGTGAGTGTGACTGTGAACAGCCAGTTAATGTCTCCTGGGCGAAGTGTGTGAGCTGAGGACTGACAGTCTGGGCAGGAGAGACTTGGGAACAAACATTATAGGACCAGGGCCAGGGCCAGGGCCAGAGATTTCTCCAGTGGCCTAACCTTGCAAAGATGGCTCTTCCCAGCCCACAAACCTCTTCTTCCCTCTTCTGGAGTCTGCAGGGGATCTTTCCCCAGCCTAGAAAGCCAGCCCATCCTGTGCAGTCGATCTAGGATGGACACACAGATAGGAAAGGCAGATACAGGCCCAGGGTCTCTAGCAACAAATAAATCAGTCAAAAGGAAAGTTTTTCTTGTCCTGAGCCAAGGTGGAGAGAGAAGAGGGGCTTGCCCCAGCTTTGTCTTTGTGGTCCAAGAGAGGTATAACCCCATCTGCTTCTTGCAGTTGCTAAGAGTGCCCAGAGGGAGGTCATGACTGTCTTCCAGAGTTCTGAACCAGTGTCTCCCTCTCTGCTGCAGGTGACAGGAACGGCCCCCTGGCTTTTGCTTCTCTCCTCCCACATCCCCTCCCTAAGCTGCTGCTTTCCCCAAAGGCAACCTTTCCCCGAGAGTCTGTCTAAACTCCTGCATCAGGAGAGCACAGCCAGCCAGCCCACTCTCCCGGCCTTCCCTTTGTCTGACAGTAACCTCTCCCACAGCTGATGTCACCCTTGCTTTGCACTGACACAGCAACTGAGCTGGCCGCGGCAGGGTTGTGAGGTCCATAGGGCAGCTGGCTGTGTCCAAAGCCAAGCTTCCCTCGGTGCTCCCCCAGAGCTTTTCCTCGGCCAAGAGCTTCTCTTCCATTTGGTGCCTCAGAGCCAGTGTAGCCACCTGGGAATTGAGTGTTGACTGAGCCTCCGCTGTACCCAGTGAAATGTTAATTCTCTGCTCTGTGGGGGAGAGAACGGAGCCAAAGTTCTGCTCCCACCCCCAGGGAGCTCATAGATTTCTGAGAGAAACAGGACAAAGCACAATAGCACACTGGCAGGCAAGCATTTGATGAAGGCCAAGTGTAAACATACCATATTAAATCAGGGAAGGGAGCAAGGGTGCCTGTCCTAAGAAGTGCCACTAGAATCAGGTAGGGGAAGAGAAAGGGCTTGCGATAGAGTCATTTAGTGGTTTTTTAAAGAGAAAATTGTCTGTTTATGTGCACTGTGCTAGGTGTATTGACAATGTATTCATATTTACTCACATATTTACCCATTTTGCAAAGCTCAGAAAAGTTGTAGCAGCCTGTGGTTTCTGGGGCAGGGATGATGTGATGTGAATCTATCAGTACCTCACATCTTCTAGGTGTGTGCTAGGTACTTCATGTATTTTGTCCATTAAGTAGTTCTTTCCAACAAACATTCTAATAAGTGGAGTCAAAAGGACACTTCCTTCTGACTCCAGGGTATGGGCCCTGCTTCTTCCCTGGGCAGAGAAGGGAAAAGGGAAAACCTCATACCAGCTCAGCTTGGCCTCTGCAAGTAAATCAATGTAATCAGGTGGATTTCCAGGCTATTTCTCTGCTCCTCCCACACCGGAGGTTGGCTGGATTCCTTTTTATTTTTTTTATTTTTTTATTTTTATTTTTATTTTTTTTTTTGAGACAGAATCTCACTTTGTTGCCCAGGCTAGAGTGAGTGCCGTGGCGTCAGCCTGGCTCACAGCAACCTCAAACTCCTGGGCTTAAAGCAATCCTTCTGCCTCAGCCTCCTGAGTAGCTGGGACTACAGGCATGCGCCACTATGCCCGGCTAATTTTTTGTATATATATTTTTAGTTGGTCAATTAATTTATTTCTATTTTTGGTAGAGACGGGGTCTCGCTCAGGCTGGTTTCGAACTCCTGACCTGGAGCAATCCACCCGCCTCCGCCTCCCAAAGTGCTAGGATTACAGGCGTGAGCCACCACGCCCGGCCTAGATTCCTTTTTAAATTGTTTTGTTTTGTCTTTTGTTTTTTGAGACAGGGTCTCACTCTGTTCCCTGGTATAAAGTGCAGTGGCATCATCATATCTCACTGTAACCTCATACTGCTGGGCTCAAGTGATCCTCCTGCCTCAGCCTCCTGAGTAGCTGGGACTACAGACGCACCACCATGCCTGGGTAATTTTAAAAAAAAATGTAGAGATGGGGTCTCACTATGTTTCCCAGACTGGCCTTGAACTCCTGGGCTCAGGTGATTCTCTTGCCTCGGCCTCCCAAAATGCTAGGATTACAAGTGTGAGCTATGCTGCCTGGCCTGGTTGAATTTTTTTTTTTAAAGCCCAGAGTTATTTCCTTCTCATTTCCCAAAGGACACTGGATTCTCAATGTGATCTGGCCCAGATATGCTCTTGCAGAATCCTTGGTTTCCCCATGTCCTCCTTTCAAGCAGCAGCCCAGAGAGCCAGCTGCATTCCTCCCATCCCTTCTGAGCCTGCCTTTTAGCTGAGGACCAGCCAGGGAGGGAGAGGAGCCAAGTCCAGAGCATGTACACAGCATGTCCCTCGGCCCCACCTCAGTCCCCACAGCCTCAACAGCACTCAGAGGGCCCACAGCGGGCTGTGGACCCTGTCAGTCCCCAGGACGTGAGAGGCCCCCAGCATTCTTTCCCTTTGACATTCACTTAACCAAACTTCTGCTTTCCCCAGACAAATGCCAACGTCTTCCTGATCCCCAAGGGCTATCACACATGGCATTTGGCAGGGACTCCTGAGGGCTGAGGCTGTCCCTTCTTGACACGAAGGAATGGAGGCCATGCGAGTGGGCCTCCCAGACCCTGAGTGTCCACCTGGAGTCACACTTCCTTGGGCCTCTCCCTGCCTGGGAGCAGTCTAGCCAGCAACTGAGCTTAGCAGGGATAGTAAGGCAAGCCCAATCCTGGGAGACACAAAACTCCCCTGATGGCCTCTTTTGGCTCCCTGAAGATCTTACCAAACCTTTCTTAGACCACATCACAGTCATCCACCCCATCTTCCCATCCTCACTTAGGGGCGGACTTGTATCATGGTCTGACAGCTCTTCCAGCCTAACTCAGCTCGCTCCTTATTTTTTCTCACAGATCTAACCCCACTAAAGCCCTTGCACAGTTATTCAGCCTTGATGTCTGTTTGTCAGAGGGCCCAGATTCACACAGAAGCTACTAGGCATCTAGAAGGATAAATCCCTGTGTGTTAGGACCTGTTAGCAGGGCGAGGCATGAGCTTTCAGAGTTACCCAGAGGAAAAAGGTAAGTTATAGGAGGAACTCAGGAATAAAATAGCCTCTAGATTGGGACCTCTGAGTGCACAGCCTTTTTTTTTGATCTTTTACATTTGAAAAAGAGCTGTTTCTTCCTATCGATAGACGGGGCAATGGTCCTGCTGCCACCTGGTGGCCATTGTAAGCAAAGCACCTTTGTGGCCTCCCACCGTGTGCTCTGATTCTGCTGGGGAGGGTAGGAGTGAGAATTTGTTCTGGCAATTGGAGGCCTCTCCCACCCTCCATTGCAGCATAAATTATAGAAATCCTGACTTCCAAACGTAACACCCAAACCTTCCTCCTTTTATTCAGCACCATAGATGCACACATCTATGAACATAATAAAACCACTGAATTGTACATTTTTAAGTAAGTGAATCGTATAGCATGTGAATTATATCTCAATAAAGCTGTTTTTTAAATCAGCACCATAAGAAGGGTTGGAATAAACTGAGAATTGTAGTCAATGAAGATGAAGATGGCTGGTTCAGTTCCTGGGGACATCCCTAAACAGATATACAAGAAGGCCACACAGTAGGTACCCCCAAAATGTTTAATATCTTGTGAAGTTAAATGAAGCCACTTTTTTTATTGCTTCACCACCCACCCTTTAACCATTGCCCTAAATCTAGAGGCATCCTTCTTACCTTCCAAGTCGACTGAGATACTCTAGTCTAAACATCCAAAGGCTTTTCATTTATCAGAATCCTTCCTGAACTTTGAGCAGCATTTCATACTGTCAACCACAACTCTCTTCATCTGACTGTTGTGTCTCGAGAATCCTTGGTTTTCCTCCTATCTCTCATGACTCTTTCTCTTCCTTCCTGGCTCCTCTTCCTTCTGCTGACACAGTAAGCTCTTCTCTCAGTTATTTAGCAATCTCATCTATTCCTGTGACTCCAATAGCCACCTCTAGCTACATGATCTCCATTTTACTCTCCCAGTATTTATTACTCACTCAAGCTCTAGACCCAATTGTCTGACAGCCTCTCAGGTTTCATCATCTGAGTGTCTCGTTAACACATTAGGCACAAATATACCTAAAGCTGAATTCATCACCTTCCTGCTGCAAACTTGCTCCTTCTCACTCTTCCTTGTACCCCATTAATCAGGTCACTATTCATCCAGTCGTCCAGGTTTGAGATCTTGGAGCCACTTTTTTTTTAGATTAATTTTTTTTTTTTCAGCCACATGATTAGGGTATCCTTAGATAGATTCATTTTTTTTGGTAGAGACGGGGGTCTCACTCTTGCTCAGGCTGGTTTCGAACTACTGAGCTCAAGTGATCCTCCTGCCTTGGCCTCCCAAAGTGCTGGAATTACAGGCAAAGCCACCACTGCCAGCCTAGAGTCACTTTTGATTTCTCTATCCCTTGCACCCTGTACATCTAATTAGATGCTAATCCTATCAGGTTCTGCCTATAAGATGTCTCACTTATCTTTCCATTCCTTTCTATTCTTATTTTACCACCATAATTCAGGCTTTCATTATCTGTCCCTGAACTAGCACAGAAACCTTACAACTGATATTCTTGCTTCCAATTTTCCCCAAAACCAACCCATCTTATTGTTAGATTATTTCTCATGAAGTCTAGCTTTGATTTCTTTACTCTATTCAGAAAATATCCTTGTCTTTCTATTATCTAACGGATTAAATGTCTAGCAGTGGAGGTTTTGCATATTTATTCTCAACCCTCTTTCCAGGCTTACTTTGTATTCTCCAGCCAAAGTGGAACTGTTCTTCCAAAAAAAGCATTCATGGCTGGAGTGTGGTGGCTCATGCCTGTAATCCTAGCACTCTGGGAGGTCAAGGCAGGAGGATTGCTTGAGGTCAGGAGTTTGAGACCAGCCTGAACAAGAGCAAGACCCCATCTCTACCAAAAATAAAAAAAAATTAGCCAGGCTTGGTGGTGCACGCCTATAATCCCAGCTACTTAGGAGGCTGAGGTGGGAGGATCACTTGAGCCTGTGAGTTGGAGGTTGCTGTAAGCTAGGCTGATGGCACTAGTCAGGGTGACAGAGTGAGACTCTATGTCAAAAAAATAAAATAAAATAAAAGCACTCCATGCTCCTACCTCTGCCTGCCTTTGCTGATTTCCCTGCATGGATGACACAGGGAAAGCCATTGTCTTTGCAGCCGCTGACCTGATTCAGAAGCCCAATTCCACCATAAGTTATCTCTCTGATACTCAGTTTCTTCATTTGTAAAATGAAGATAATAAAAACCTACCCCAAAAGACTGTGTGAGAATTAGCTAAAATAATGCACTGTAAATTGTCTGGCCTCTGTGTGGTTAATGAATGGTAGCTACACTTTATTTCTGTCTCTTAAAATATTACCCATCCTTCCAAGTCCATCTCAGTGTCATTCCCTTCAGAATTCCCTTCTTGACCTTCCCACTTCCTAACTCAATCATCCTCCTTTCTCTGAACCAATGTTAGATGCTATACTTCTCATTGCAGCCATTTTCAGACTTGTTACACATTTCACCCATATTCGTCCCCAACTTGTAATTTCCAAGGAAGTGGCAATTAATGCAATAACTTGGTGCAAGGAAGTGATAAGCAATCTACTGCATGGATGACAAGAAATGAACTGCAATGATTTCCTGCTGAAGCGGAGAGGTAGGGTGGTGAAGCCAACCAGCCAAGAGTTTCTCTGAGTCTGAGATGGAAATAAGTCTCAAATCTCCTAACTACTGATTTTTGGCTTTTAAAAAATAATTATTTTTCCAAATATAAAAGTACTCAGAATCAATGTGAAAAAAAATGAATAAACTAAAAGGGCCTGTAATCACATCATTCAGAGATATCCATTGCTAATTTTAGTTCATTTTTTAATGCAACTATATAGGTATAATACACACATAAAATTCAGAAATTGTTACATTATAGGTGTGTATGCCAGAATTTTTCCCATAACACGTGATGAGCATTTTCTCATGGCATTAAGTATTATTCAAAAATGTTAATTTCTGCACAATAGCTCATCATGTGACTGTATCATAATTTATTTAATATTTTTTTCTATGTTGCATATGTAGGCTTCCTTTTTTCAGCTTTTTAAGTAGAAATCACCATTCTATTTCTCATTAACCTCAGAAACTCCAGTCTCCTTCTGTATATTCTAGGAGCACCCTGTATTTCTCGCTTGTAGTACTTTGTGTGATTATAAATCATAAATTATTTAAGTGTTTGTTTAATTCCTGTCTTCTCCACTAAAATATAAGATCCATGAGGCAGAGTCTATGATGGTCTTATTTACTGCTTTATCCTTAGAGCTAAGCACGGTGCCCAACCCATATTCGGTACTGAGTAAATATTTGTGGAATGAATGACTGACAGGAGTGAGGACTCTGGATGGAAGAATATATGTCTCCTGTAAAGGGACCCTCAGAGACAAGGAGGTCACTGCCCTGAGACTATAAAATGATGCTGTAGAATCATCTTTGTTCTCCAATCTCTGCTCTTCACAGGCTTTGGGCATTCAGTCAGCTGTGCCTCGTGTGAAATTTGGTGAGTGGTGCTGAGGGTAAGAACTGGGTTCTCCTGGGTCTTCTTCCCCAAGCCCCTCTGTCAGACATTCCTATTCTCTCTCTGGCCTTTCTTGATCCTCCTCTTCTCTTACTGTGAGTCCCTCTCTTTCAATCTAGCCAGCTGTCTCAAAGTTACATGGAGCTCTCTCCTCCACCCCTACCCTGCTGCAGGTGGCTTGACTGATATCAACTACAGAACTCTGTCCGACACAGCTGGGACTCTTCTCTGAAGTGATAGTGCTGATGGATTGCTTCTAAGCATGTGAGCACACGGTGGTGTTCATACTACACTCAGCAGTGGGGCATGACCATGGCCTCAGGGAACTGAACTTCCTTATGTTTGCTGATGGCATCATCTATCTCCCACCACCTGGGTTTGATTGGTTCCCTCCATCTGCCTAATCTTCTGTATAAGGCATGGACAAAAGGACATAGGTGTCTAGGAAAGACCTCTAGAAATGGGATGTAAGCTAAAAATTTCATTCAAAAAGGATCTCATTGGAGACATGGATGATTGCAAAGGTATTCCAGCAGGACTTGTGAAATAACAGAGGTGATAGGAAGGAAGTGAAAGGATAAAGTGGGGTCATTTTGATGATGAGGTGAATCACCTCCAGCCTTTCTGTGAGGTCCCAGATGAAATTGAACAAAGTGTTATTTTTCTTGGCCTCCTGATCTGGAGACAGCTGCAATAGGACTTCATGTACTTGAACCTTCCCATGGATCTGGCTTGTCCATTGTGATGTATTGAACAGTAGGGCCTTTTGAAGGCCCTTGATACAGTGTTGTGGTGTCTGTTGCATGAAAATAGTTTTGGGTGGACTTCCCTGGACTTAGTCTACTCTGGTCTGCTTGCTTGGTCCACCAGTTTTGTTGATGCAAACCTGGGCTACTCAAATTTTATAATTTTTTCCACAAAGATGACAAGTGGTATATTGATGAAGCCTACGGTCTTATGCCCAGGGTTCTTTCTGATAGATAAGTGATTTCCAATGTCTTCCATTAAGAATCATTGTCATAGTGAGCCATGGTTAGTTATGCCTTATGTTTATACTTATGCTTTATGTTTATTGAGGTAAAAAAGGTTAAAAATCAACAGGTGGAATACAGAAAGTGGTTTGAAGTTGTCCTCTCCTTGTGGACCCTGGAATGTGAATCATCCCAGGGTTCCTTTGTCTGGAATATGGAAGGTGACTTACCCCAGGGGTTCCTTCTGGAGAGCTTACAAGGAGATGGGCCACCAATTCCCTTCCTATAGACTTTGATGCCTCTGGGCTCTTTGTCAGGGTCTGGTAGATCTGGGTAGCACTGAAAAAGCTGGTTGGGTGGGCATGGCGGGAAAAGGAAATACACTGGTGGAAGAAATGGGATAATCTTCCTCCCAGTGTCTGCAGTAGGATAGCATGCTACCAAAAAGTGTATCCCAGTAAAGCCATAAGACCAATTCACCACCTGGGCTAAGAGGCACCCTGATGAAGAAGTGCTATGGTTTTGGTGGGCCGCAAGGCTTGTCATGTGGTTATAAAACTCCTCTAAGAGGTCCTCTCATTCGAAGATTATTTCATCATTCTTTCCAGACCAAATGACATCATTCCATTCTACTGGTATCTGCTGATGGGAATGGAACAGTGTGGATACAGAGAGTTCTGGGACCCATGTCCCTCAGAGCCAATATTAACAAAATCCTGGCTAAAGGTACCTACCTTAACCATGAGGTTGATTGCTGTGTATGAGTGGAGTACACAAGAATGGATGCTACAGTAAGATAATTAAATGTGTTTTGTCCTTTAGAGTGCACAGTTTGTAAAGACTTCTATATTCCGCTTTTTAAAATTCTAAAACAGTCCTTAAGATCAGCAAGGCAGTCATTGTTATCAAGATTTTGCAGATAGGTAAACTAAGTCTCAAAAGCAACTGGTTGAGAACAATACCACTAGTATGTTGCTGAGCCAACAGATAAACACAGGAGTTTAATTCACATTTAAATTCAAGGCTCTGAGGTTTTGCTGAACTGGTAAAGAGGCAGCCTGAGCCACAGGGCTCCCCTGACACTGGTTGTCCCTTTTAACAGGAAAAGTCAAGTGGCCGGTTGAAGCGTAAAGACATGGAGAAGTACTGGACAGATAATCATTAGGAGATTCCACTTGATTACAACATTTGCAACTCCTTGAGTAAGTTTAAACATCACTGGCATGCAGAGCACTTTTGGAGAAAATTTCTCAAGCTGTGTTGCATAACCTGTGCTGCTGCGGCCACATGAGTTGAGCCACATGCATCGCGAGTGCTTAACACTGAGCAGGGAAAAGCAGTAGGGTTCTGCCCAGGTGGGTGATCATGAGTAAGCCATCCAGTCATGGCCTTGAGCTCTCAGAGATGTAACACTTGTCACATGATGAACCTCCGTTCAAATTCCTGCTGATCACAAGCCTCCTTCAGGAATTCGAAATTACCCAAAGGGAATCAGAAACCATCTCCTGCTTTTCTGGACCTGACTGTTAGCTTCCTGTTCATCACCCCTATCCTGAGGTCCAGTTTTGCAAGTCAAGGGTCCTTTTGCAATTGTTCAAAAGGCTCCTGGGTGAGAGGCAGCAGCTCCCCTTTTCCTTCCCAATCAGCTTATTTAACACAATATAGTTGATACTGGCACAGTTCCTCATCCTTTCTCTTTGTTTTTTCTTTTCTTCTGGGGAGTTTCCAAATTTATTTTTTATCAACTGATTCATCTTAGAAATTGAGCCGTAAGCATCAGGACAAAGGATCATCTTGGCTACCAAATCCATTCTCCCACCAGGGCAGCGTTGTACATTTCCAAAACATTATAGGCCTCCTCCACATGACTCAAGGGATGGGAATTTCAACACCTCTCATGGGAGATTATTTTATGGCCGCTTAAACCTTAGCCATTATGAAAGTCTTTCTGATGAAACGTGTCTTTTTTTTTCTTCAGTTCATTCGTTATCCTTAGATAATCCCCTAAAAAGCATCTTCACAATCCCACTCCTTCTTTGGGGCTTACAGCTTCAATTATCTGTGCGTGGCTGTCAGGCCCCCACCCCACACACAGGCACCCACACTCCTTAGCTGTTCAGCCAACCTACACACACATCATTCTTTTCTCTTTCCTCATACATCAGAACCTCCAGTGAATTTGAAGGGAGATTACGGCTTCTCTCTCACATTTTTCTCACGATAGCTATATCCCTTCTCCTCAACCACATGCCAGATTTCTGTAGGCCAGTAGACATTCATCAATGGAAATGAGATTTTTCTGGAATGCTGTGTTCTATGGTAAAAAAAAAAAAAATCCCTCCTACACATAACTCATATCTAGAGTGAAGCAATATTTATATAAACTATAAGAAGGAAGAAAAAAATCTAAAAGAAATCTGAGACTACCTTAAATTTCCAATCCACTGAGAAACTGGGTTGTTTTGTTTTGTTTTGTTTTGTTTTGAGAAACCCATTAACTGTAAGTTAAAATTTCAAAAGAATGTTTCTCTTAAACATGGATTAAATCACCTTTTGGCAAAGGAAGAATGAAAGAATTGACTACTCATTTCTTTATCGATGAAAAACTATCTGAGATGAGTGCCCCACATGAAAAGAAAGCTTCCTTTTGTTCTGTAACCACTGTCTGAATAACTAGTAGTTTCCATGTTCCCTCTAGGGACTCACACGCACAGACACAATCCTAAACTGCAACAGGGCTCACCCTCATGATACAACCTCAGGCCTTCTCCCCGCCACTGTTTTCTCCCAGCTGCACTAAAGGCCGGTCTCCTACAGCCTTGTGAGTATCACAGACATCTTGAGGTCCCCCAAACCCTACTATTGTTCCTCTGCCCAGAAGCACTTTGCCATCCAAACATGGTGGGGGTCTTCCTCCTCAAACCTCACCCACCCGTCAAGATCTAGCTTCAGTTCCATTTCTCCTAGGGAACCTGCCCTTTCCTCTAAACCTCCTAATTTTTTTTTTTTTTTTTTTTGAGACAGAGTCTCACTTTGTTTCCCAGGCTAGAGTGCCGTGGCGTCAGCCTAGCTCACAGCAACCTCAAACTCCTGGGCTCAAGCGATCCTCCTGCCTCAGCCTCCCGAGTAGCTGGGACTACAGGCATGCGCCACCATGCCCGGCTAATTTTTTTTTTTATATATATATCAGTTGGCCAATTAATTTCTTTCTATTTATAGTAGAGACGGGGTCTCGCTCTTGCTCAGGCTGGTTTTGAACTCCTGACCTTGAGCAATCCACCCGCCTTGGCCTCCCAAGAGCTAGGATTACAGGCGTGAGCCACAGCGCCCGGCCTAAACCTCCTAATTTTTAATGTCTATACCATTAAAATATGTTATCTCACATTACTCATGCCTCCATTTGCTTCATTTTTAAAAAGTTTTATTTTATTTTTAATTGACAAATAATAAATATATATTTATGGTGATGTTTTGGTACATGTATACACTGTGGAATGACTAAATTGGGCTCATTAGCATATTCCTAACCTCAAATATTTATCATTTCCTTGTGCTGTAAACACTTAAAATCCTCTTATAGCCATTATGAAATACACAATTTATTATGATTAACTATAGTCACCGTGCTGTGCAATTGAGCACCAGAATGTATTCTTCCTATCTAAATATAAGTTTATACCAGTTGATCAACCTCTCTCTCCCCTTTCCCTATCTACTCCTCCCTGGGTCCCCCTCCTCTAATAACCACCATTCTACTCTCTACTCTATGAGTTTAACTTTTAAAAGTTCTATATATAAGCGAGCATCTGTCTTAATGTGCCTGGCTTATTTCACTTAATATTCACATTTTTTAATCCATATATCTGTTGGTGGACAACTTAGGTTGTTTCCATATTTTTGCTATGTTGAATGATGCTGCAATGAACATGGGAACACAGACATGTCTTCAATATACTGATTTCAACTCCTTTGGGTACATACCCAGTAGTGGGACTGCTGGAACATATGGTGATTCTATTTTTAGTTATTTTATTTTATTTTATTTTATTTTATTTTATTTTATTTTAAGACAGAGTCTCACTCTGTTGCCCAGGCTAGAGTACTGTGGTGTCAGCCTAGCTCACTGCAACCTCAAACTCCTGGGCTCAAGCCATCCTTCTGCCTCAGCCTCCTGAGTAGCTGGGACTCCAGGCGCCACCATGCCCGGCTAATTTTTTCTATGTATTTTTAGTTAGCCAATTAATTTCTTTCTATTTTTTAGTAGAGATGGGATCTCGCTCTTGCTCAGGCTGGTTTCCAACTCCTGACCTTGAGCGATCCTCCCGCCTCAGGCTCCCAGAGTGCTAGGATTACAGGCATGAGCCACCGCGCCTGGCCTCTATTTTTAGTTTTTTGAGGAGCCTTCATACTATTTTCCAAAATAGCTGTACTAATTTACAATACCACCAACAGTGTATACAAGGGCTTCCTTTTCTCCACAGCCTCACCAACACTGGTTATCTTTCATGTTTTTGATAATAGCCAATCCAACAGGTGAAAGGTGATATTTAATTGTGGTTTTAATTTGCATTTCTCTTATGATTGGAGATGTTGACCATCTTTTTCATATATTTCTTGGCCTTTTGTATGTCTTCTTTTGAGAAATGTCTATTCAAGTCCTTTGCCCATTTTTAAAATAGGGTTATTTGTGTTCTTATTGTTGAGTAGTTTGAGTTCCTCATATATTTTGGATATTAGCCCCTTATCCAATGTATGATTTGCAAATATTTTCTCCCAATCGATGGGTTCTCTCTTCACTCTATTAATTGTTTCCTTTGCTGTACAGAAGCTTTTTAGTCTGATGCAATCCTATTGTCTATTTTTGTTTTTGTTGCCTGTACTTTTGGAGTCATATCTAAGAAGTCACTGCCCAGACCAATGTCATGGAGCTTTTCCCCCAAGTTTTCTTCTAGTAGGTTTTTTTTTTTTTTTTTTTGAGACAGAGTCTCACTCTGTTGCCTGTGCCAGAGTGCCGTGGCATCAGCCTAGCTCACAGCAACCTCAAACTCCTGGGCTCAAGAGATCCTCTTGCCTCAGCCTCCCAAGTAACTGAGACTACAGGCATGCGCCACCATGCCTGGCTAATCTTTTTTTCTATATATTATTAGTTGTCCAGCTAGTTTCTTTCTATTTTTAGTAGAGAGGGGGTCTCGCTCTTGCTCAGGCTGGTCTCGAACTCCTAAGCTCAAATGATCCACCCGCCTCGGCATCTCAGAGTGCTGGGATTACAGGCATGAGCCACCACGCCCGGCCTCTTCTAGTACTTTCGTCGTTTGAGATCTTACATTTAAGTCTTTAATCGATTTCAGGTTGATTCTTGTATAAAGGGTGCGATGAGTCCATTTTCATTCTTCTGTATGTGGATATCCAGTGTTCCCAACACCATTTATTGAAGAGATTGTTTTTTCCCCATTGTGTGTTCTTGGCACCTTCGTTGAAAATAAATTGGCCATAGATGTATCTCATCCTTTTTCTTCCCAAAGAAAACAGCTACATTTGGAATGTGTCTTGCTGGCTGGTAAATGGAGAGATGGGCTCTTCTCTATGTGAGAAGGCTCACTGACAGTTCCTCAGCTCCATCCAAGAAGGGAGTTCTTTCTCTTAATAGCATCTGGGCCTGGGGCAGGAGATTTGTGCAGCAGAATCAACTGTCTTAGGAGTCAGAGTACACTTATTTATCAAAGTCCAGCCCTTCATTGTCTGGAGACTGGTGTCCCATTAAAGGCTAATGTTTTACTATACATGAAGATGGGCTTAAGGCCAGTGCAGCAGGAGAGTAGCCCTAGGTGGAGATCCAGGAGTTGAGAAAGGACAGCTCCCTCTTCAGCCTTCAGGGATGGTAAACTGCAGGGAGACCACTAGCACTTGTGGGACCAGCCCCACTGTGGGCACAGAGCATGTCTGTTGGTGAGCCAGGCAGGTGCTCAGAGGCTGGAGCAGGGCATAGGCAGGGATGTGCTTGGGACCATACCAGGATTTTACTTCAGAGACCTGAGGTTGGAAAGAAAGCAGATCAATCCTGATATCACTCTTGTTTCCATGCTGTGCTCCATCTTACAGTTCTAGGCCCAGCACTAAGCAGAGCCATAGGGAAAGGTTGCCAGCTCAGCTGGATCCAGATATTGGCTTCCTTAAGGAATCCCAAGTCATATGTCCTTTGCTC